GCGACAGAAGCGCTGCTCCAGAACTTTTACGAGATATTGTAGTGAAAATCAGTGTATCTTTGGAGTACATTCGCTTTTCCCCCGGATCTATCATCACCTCCACCATGAGATACATTTCTGCCCTTTTTTTCGCACTAAATCCTACTGCAGGAGCAAGAATCCAAGCCCCGCCTGAAATAATTCATGAAACGTTTTTTGCTTAGGTCCAAAGTGCTCTAGATTCCACCTTAGATGCTCTCACGTTTTTTTTTTGTTTGTTTTTTTTCAGATCAACAAGAAGGTGATGGGCATGATCGAGAAGGCCGAGGGCGAGTACAAGGAGCTCATCCACAAGAAGACGGTCATCGAGAATGACAAGAAGAAGATTCAGGACGTCATCGGCGAGCTGGACCAGAAAAAGAACCAGACCCTGCAGGTATTTATGTACTCAAGGTAGTTTTAGGTTTTCTTGTTTATACAAACGCAGCACTTCCCAAATGCTACACGAGCGCGGTTCCATGGTATACTTTCTACGGTACACATTCGATTGTTTTTGCCGTTGCATCCGCAAGAAGATTTCTCGACATGTGATGGGCGCGCCGGACCAGAAATAGAACCAGACCCCACACATTACTTTCCATTCATATTGGCTGGTATGAGAGGCTTTTTCGGACGCTGTTATCTTTCGGCGTGTTTCTCTTTTCGAACACAAGTTTTCGGCGTGTTTTGTACTAGAGGTATGGCATCTAAAGAGAATGAGGTGGTCGGCCATGCGGTCGCGAACGAACAGGCCCTTCCCGCGGTTAGGAGTGAGGTGTTGTGTTGCAATCCTCTCGATTCACAACAGCTGCTCGTTCTACAAACCTCGACTCAAGGCAGCGTTCATGAGGGGCCCGCTGCCAGCCAGTTTGCAATGTATTGGCTTCCAAGCAGAGAGATCGGTATGGTTTTTAATGTGCAGGCAGACAATAACCCCGTCTTGTAATTTCCATGTGCTCTAGACAAGATTTGAGATGGTGACGTTTTGTCCAGGCATGATTTGAGATGGTGGCGACTCACGGCAGCGTTTTCAAAGGGCCAGAGGCTCACCAAGTTACAGCTCATCGTCGCCTGCTCGCGAAGTTGCCATTAATTGCCCGCTCCAACAAGTGCTTTGAGCGCTGATTTGAAGCGAAGACTATAATAATAAAAAATACAAAAGAGTATGTTACCAATCAGTCGTTTGTCCATGGGAGCAACTTGCCTACCACCAACTTTCAAACCTGTCGTTGAAACGTGTCGTCTTCTCTCTTGTGTGCATGTGGGTGGCGACAGACGACCTGGCTTAAGGTGAACCGAGACTTCGGCAGCATCTTCTCGACGCTTCTGCCCGGCACGTCTGCCAAGCTACAGCCCCCGGAGGGAGAGACGGTCATGGCCGGCCTGGAGGTAAAGAAGCACGTTCTTTTTTTCTTTTTTTGGTGCACGTTGTTTTCTTTGTTGTTTTCGTTACCAGCGTTCTTGTGTTGTAACACGCTATCAGATTTACAGTAGTGGTCCCGGAATAATGCCGGTGCGATCTAGCCGATTTCACCGGCAATATAGCGGGCAACCGGCATTGTTCAGAGTATGAAACAACTTGAATATTCCATCTGTGCCAGACGACTTGACCGCCATTGTACGGGCAACCGGCATTATTCGACCGACACAATACCGGGACTACTACTGTACCTGTCTTTCTGTTCTTTATGGATGTGGTAATGTTGCACGTACGCGTTTTGATTTTTTCTACGTTTTTCGCGTTTTGATGAGCTTCTTAGAGGGCCTCGGGTGACCGTTTTCACAGGGTCCTTCCTGCACCGGCGAGAGGTCAATCAAGAGATGACACATGTTGACGTG